CTGAAGTCCCAGTAGTCCAAAGAGCACATGGCTAGTTCACCAAGGGCTGCATAGAAACTAGGTTAAAGTCTCCAATTAGGAACCTAGGGCCATGCGTATGCTCCCCTTGAGCTCCACATAAGTATTGTTAAGCATTTTTTTCCCAATGGGAGGTTGCTCCTACCCATTTTCCTACCAACAGAGAAGATGTAATCACCTTCTCCTAAATATACATGCCCTGCTCCCTGCATCTTGGCTTGAATTTCCAGTAAGATCCTTATCACTCTGGTAGGAGTGCCTGTTGGATTGGGGTGACCTTAGCACAGTTTTGTATGGCAGCAACTGAATGATCTTCTCTCCCAACCACGTTGAAAAATGTACCCCAGCTGTCAAAGTGGTTTGTAAATGTACATATAGAGGAAGTGATATGTGTTTCATGGGTGTTAGGCAGGCACTCTCTCATGGTTTAGGGCACTAGATTAGAAGAATACATGCCCTGGGGTCAGTGGCCTGGCTTCATCTCGCTCTTGATCTTATAATAGTGGGCTCATACAATATTTGTCCTTTTGTGATTGACTAACTTCATGATAGTTTCCAGGCCATGAAATGGGAAACCAACTTCTTGATATTGGCTTATTAAGAAATCCTTGGGAGAGAGATGGGGCTTTCTACTCCCATAACAGTTATAGTCTCAGACACTCATAGGAAAATCTACCCTGGCCGTAGTAGGGCCGTTATGAGTTGGCATTGACTCATTGACAGTGAGTGAGAAGAAATCCTGTCCTTTTGATGAGTTAGCTTATAGTTGTGTCAAAATACCCTACGTGATTTCTTTAGCCAGGGATGAATGAATATAGCACCTACCTCAGACAAACTTTTTATTAAATGTTGGGAACTAAAATATAGTAGAGTAGGTAAATTCACCTGGATTCTGAATGGAAAACATTAGACTTTAAATTCATTTAAATTAATTTATCACTGTGGTAGGAGTGTCTGTTGCACTGGGGTGACTTTAGCACAGTTGTGTATGGCAGCACCTGAATAGACGCCATTGGGGGAGGGTGGCAGCAGCGGCTTCATGTAGCAATGGCATGGATTCCAGTGGCGGGGAAAAGGGGCTACACCATCGGTGCTACTTACTCCTATATTCTGGCTCACCTGGAGAAATCAGACTTCTTAGCTTTGAACTATTTTAATAGTCTAACATAGTTCAACTCTGAAATTCTGCTGAAAGGAGAAACTCCAATAGTTAACATGTTTAACACTATTGAATGATTACTCAGTGACATGAAAAACTACCTGTGTCTCATAAGTTCAGAGATAATTTGGGGCCTATTTCAGCAGTCTATTTTCTACAAAACTAATCAGTTTATTTCTGCATATTTCAATTAGCACAACTCAAAATTGGCCTTGAGGATGGTCCAGGACCAGTGTTTCATTCTGTTGTGGTTAGGGTCATTATGAATTGGAATCAATTTGATGGCACATAACAACATAGTTGGTCTTAATATTTCATAGGGCATAGTCGCCATTACCTGTTGGTTTACTTAACAGTTTTCTACATGTTTTATTCTTGAGCTCTCACGGGTGAACTTTTTAAATTGTTACCCACATAACAAAACATTTGCTGTTGTAAGATTTTGATATGTATAATCCATTGACGGTAGATCTTTTCTGGAGCAAATGGCCTCTCTTTTTCCCATGAAGAAGCTGGTGGTTTGACCCACCAAACTTGAGGTTAACAGCCCAGTGCCAAATCTACAGCACCATCAAGGCTGCTTATCAATCTAGAAAGAAATTTAGAAAAGAAACAAGTTGAAGGGCTTACTGATTCAACTTTAGTAAACAAGACAGTGTGATATTGGTGATATATCTTCCCAGAGTCTACGTTGACTTCAGATGCTTGACTTGATTGAGCTGTGGAAAGTTACGATATCTGCAAGAGCTCCCAGTAAAATGATTTTTCTTAATGTTATAAAAGTAAACAAAGAAGAAAAATCTGCAATCCTGGGGAACTTCTTTAAATCTTATTAACTCTTCAATGTGTATTGTAGTTACTTTAAAGTTGTTTTTCCTAATTCCACTGTTTCGTTTGTGAGTCCAATCTTACAGACTGATTTTTATCTTTTTTATTCATTTTATTGGGGACTCATACAAATCTTGTAACAATCCATCATTCAATTGTATTAAGCACACTTGTACATATGTTGCCATCAACATTTCCAAAACATTTTCTTTCTACTTGAGCCCTTGGTTTCAGCTCCTCTTTTTTCCCCTCCCTCTGCCACCCTCC